GTGCTCTCCGAGAACTGAAGAGAGCAACGCCACACACACAGCACCAACCCGTTCAATCTTCCTGACAATTCCATGGGGGAACCAAAGCACAGAGACCTAAAGTAACTTGCCCAAGGTCACACAGTAGAAGCTGGGATTTGAAACTAGGGGGCTAGGTCTTGGAAAATCCCTGGCAACTAGAGACTCTTCTCAGTCTCCCTGATTTTAAAAACTACTCCTGGGAAATCACCATTCAGCATCCACAGTGACACCAAGAAACAGGAACTGCGGTATCACTGTCTACAGCTGCCAAAGTCAGGTGCAAGATTAATGAGGACGGTTACTGGGGAGGGGTGAGGCTCTGCCAGAGGCCCCCACCGAATGAGGGACCGTGGCCACTCTAGGCCCCTAAGTGAAGCAGGAGGTTCATGGATCAGCTATGAATCTCCTTAAAGGAAAAAGGGGGGAAAAGCTGAAATCAAATCAAGCTTCCTGCTGGATCCATCGAGTTTCAGAAAACAAGAGAATCAAGTGACCATGGACACCACGAGGATGAGTCGCCACGTCCAGAACGGGGGCCGCCACAGGGCAAATGTCCTGGGCTCCCAGGGAGCTGCTGCCATGGGAAAAGAAACAGGCAGCCGCGTGGAGTGGACAGGGACACTCCCCCACGACTGTCCCCTCTGCACGTCTGCTGTGGGGTTTAGGCGATTCTTCATCAATGTCACCTGACGCTTTGGTACCACCTGACAACCAATGGGACGACTGAAAGCCTCCCTCCGTTTCCCAAAATGCCCTGGGGACAGCACCCTGTGCCTCCAGAATGAGGATGCTGTCCCTACCCTTGCTGGCCTGGTGAAGGGTGTGCTGCTAGTCCAGCCAGCTCTCTGGAGAAAAAGAGCATTTCTGTCACTTCCCAGTTCACTGTGTCCTCAGATGTGCCGCCATGACACGTTTCATGCACTCAGTGGGTGTTTAATCAAGCTACGTGCTGCCTTCCGTTGGGGACAGGGATAGGGCACCTCTGACTTCAAGGAAGTAGTTCCCATCCTGTTCTGCTTCCTGTTGTCCCTTCTGTTGAGAGGGAGGGAGGGGAGGGGTGGGGGACAGGGAGAGAGCAGGTGGGGGCTTGTCACCGTCTGCTTTAGAACTTGCAGCCCTGAAGGAATTCCGTCAGTTAAATCTGTGCAATTCATATGGCCTCTCGTGACTTTGCAGAAGTCCACCTGCCACCTGGCCTGAGAGGAATGAAGTGCTGACCCGTGTCCCATGTGGATGAACCCCGAAAACGTGACAAGTGGACAAAGCCAAGAGTTTCAGTCAGATTTTCCGTCGCTGTGACTAAAAGGCCTGACAAGAATGGTTTTTAGAAGGAAGAGTTTATTTGGGGCTCCTGGCGTCAGAGGTCTGAGTGGACGGCTGGCTCCATTGCTCTGAGCCCACAGTGAGGCAGGACGTCATGGCAGACAAGTGTAGTGAAGGGAGGCAGCTCAGGACAAGGCCACCAGGAAGGGGTGAGAAGAGAAAGGGAGAGTGTGCCCCTAGAGACCCACCTCCTCCAGCCACACCCCACCTGCCTGCGGCCACCACCCAGTGAGTCCACTCAAGTGGACAGATGCACTGGACGGGTTAGGCGTCTCAACTTTATCATCTCACCTCTGAACTTTCTTGCATTGCCTCCCACATGAGCTTTCGGGGGACACCTCATATCTAAACCATAACACCAGACCAAACCGCTTGCAGTCTCTGCGGATTTGCCCTGCCGGACATGTCTGGCCAGGCACTGTTCTAATGCTTAGGGAGGCACCGTCCCTGCCCCAAATCACGGGCTGATGAGCGTAGGAGCCTGAGGCGGCCAGGAGGATTAACCAAGGCCTGGCACACCAGCCACCGCCGCCGGGGCGGAGTGGACTAAGGAGATTTACCCTCCAGGTGATGAGGAGGGGCCTCAAGGGTCATGAGGCCTGTGGTGAGCGTGTGCCCGGCATGCACCAAGGCCCTGGGCTCCACCCCAGCACCGAGGAAAAGAAAAAGGAGGAAAAAATTCTTGTGATAAGTCTGAAAATCTCGTGAGCGTCCTGCTGAGTTTGGGGAGGAAACGCAGCCAGTGAACCCCGCCTCCCCAGCTCTTCCAGTTCCAGTTCCAGCTGAACTCAACATCAGGGTGAAGGGGGCCAGAGGGAGATGTACACCACCGTCCACTTCCGGTTGGGCTCAACCCCTGGAATGAGCCGTGGCCCTCACACCCCTGCTGGGGTGGTTCAGTTCTCCGCCACCTTAGTGGGCTCTGAGATTCTCAGCTACTCAGACTTCAGAAGCAGGGGTTCTGTTGCTAGGTCACTCCGGGGGACAGCCACGTAGCTCCTGGCAGCTTCCCGGGTCCACTCTCTGCTTGACTCCCTGACAGAACCCAGGCCTGGGGCCAAGGCCAAGGGAAAATTTAGTCTCTCACCTGTGTCTCTATGTGCGGAGCTGAGGATGGAGCCCGGGCCTCACACTGCACCAGCCCTCTGGGGGGTCTCAACGTTCAGCTGGCAGACACGACACTCTATCCACTCCCCAGGGCTCCTGTACAACAGGGCGACACAAACTGGGTGCCTGGGAACAGCAGGAAGCATTCCTCATACAGTTCTTGATGCCAGAAGTCCACCCCTGCCCCTGTCAACCTGTGGCATTTGCCCCTTTGTGTGTCTGGGTGGCCCCTGGTCCTAATGGACCAAGGCCCCTTTACTCCAGCATGACCTTGTCTCGACTACTACATTGGCCATGACCCTATTTCCAATTTAGGTCACACTGTCTGAGGTAGTAGAGGTTAGGACTCCAACACAGGAATGTCGGGGTGGGGTGCACAGTTCAGCCCGTGACCCGCACGTATTGTGGGTTCAGTGCCATCTGAGGAGCTGGGCGTGGTGGCTTGGGGAACCTACGTGGCACCTATCCTGCTGGCTTCCTTCCTGCCCCTCTGCCAAGGGACAGGAATGGTTTCTTGGCGCTGGCCAGCTTCTGCTTTGGAACTTGCAAATGAGGTGAGGAGCTCAGTAAATATTTGTCAAATGAAGAAATGCAACTTATGATTGGCAGTTTGCCAACTTCTATGGGCTTTTATAAAAGAGAAGCTGTGGCCGTCCTCATCTGAGCAACACCCAACATGCGGGGAACAGAGTGGGGCCCTTCATGTCCAGATCACACAGAGCTGAGTGCCACATGACAAGTGACATGCCCAGCCCACAGTAGCCAGCATGGGACCTGCTCTGTCCCACTCCCTCCTGGCAGAGGCCCTCAGAAAGGGCCCAAGACAAGGAGGCTGCACGACGGGGCTCCCAGATCTTCACCCACATCACCCCCAGGATGCCGAGGAAAGACCAGAGCAGGGAAGTGGCACTTGACTCCCTGCCCCAGAACGTCCCCAGCTCCATTTGTGTCAAGGTGAGTCTGCAAGAAATGCCATGTGTCTGCATCACTCTCAGTGAGCCGACACAGATCATCCCAGTGATTTCAGTGTCCCAGTAAAAATGTCAACGTGGGAATTTTGTGAGATAAGGATCCACGTAGAAGGAACACTCAGACTGGGCCACCTGGGCTGAGCTCCCCACAGTATGGTGTCAGCAGCATGGGTTGGATCGCGGGCCAGCGAGGTAGCACAGCTCCAGAGGGCCAGTGACCGCGGGAAGTGGTGACCATCCCTGGGAGACCAAATAACCTAACCCTGTCGTCCCTCCTTGCCCCACTTCTGGACAGGACTCTGCTGACCCAACACAACAGGTGGCCATAGGGCCACAGGTGCTATCGATTGGCCTCTAGGAATGCGGCAAGGTGGAGGAAGTGGAGGAGTCAGCAGGGGGTGGCACATGGGCGTCTACTTGGGGGGGGAGATCTGGGCACAGCCCTCACCCAGGGGTCAAGACCCCAGATTCCTGTTCCCTCCTGCTGGAGTCTCTCCACAAGGGTGATGTGAGGAAGATCCTGGTTGCTGAGGGCCAGTCCTGAGAGGATGAAGGGAAAAGGGAAGGGGACCCTAGGGAACCAGCTAGGAATCACAGAAGACCACCATATGGCTGGATTGTATCCCCACAAAATCTCAAGCCCCAGCCCCTAGAACCTTAGCATGGGGTCATGGGATGTAATTAAATGAGGTTGCTATGGTGGGCTCTGATCCAGCCTGGTGTCCCCATAAGAAACCAGATGAGGACACACACCCACAGGGCAGATCATGTGAAGACACAGCAGGAGACATGTGAAGACAACACAGGCGAGGAGGGAGGCCTGAACAGATCCTGCCTTGGGCCTGGGAGGAGCTGCCCTGCTCGCCCTCCACCTGGACTTCTGTCCGCCATGACTATAAGACAATCGGTATCTGTGGCTTGAGCCGGGGTGTGCTGAGTCACCAAGCTCCAGGACCCCACCTCCACTTGGGGGATACAGGCCCTGGTGCAGTCCCCTCCCATGTGGAGGCGGAGCTGCTGTCTGGAGTGATAGATGGGGCAGGGGTGACAGTACATCCTCTGAGGCTAGGTCACCAAGGCCTCTGCAGCTTCCTGGCTCTGGAGGAACTGGCTGCACATTGCAAGGACACTCAAGTGGCTGGCAGAGGTCATGTCCAGGACCAGCACCAACCCTCCAGCCACGGGAGCAGATCCCTGGCCCAGCTAACACTGGAGGGCCATCTCCTGGCTGCCTGACACAGCCGCACAGCTCGGCCCCCGAGACTGCGAGAGAGCAAGTGTTGTCCGTGTCTTAAGCACCAGGTCTCCGGGTGTTTTGCCACATGGCAGGGGAGAGCTGGCAGAGACCTGCCGTGCCCAAGCCACTTTATAGCCAACGCCACACCTTGACCGCCCTGTCAAGGACGGAAGGAAGGAGCCAGGCCCAAGATGACTCCGAGAAGGCACATTAGCACTCCATGGGGACGAGGGGTTGGGCTCTGGAAGTGAGCCCAAGAATGGTGAGTCAAACAGCAGGAGCCCTGGAGACAGTGTCATGCAGGAAAGAGAGTGACAGAGAGGGTCCCTAAACCAGGGCACCTACACCTGGTAGGAATTTTAAGTGAATGCAAATGATTTTGTTATGATTTTTAAAATACCCATAAAGGAGCATTACACCAATAACATTCTGGCATCTCCATGTTTTAAAATACACTGAACTTATGTACAACTATAATGCACCAATATAAGTATGGGAAAAAAGTAAAAATAAAATTCCTATTAAAAAAAAACAACACTGAATACAGGAAAACCAGCTGTGTAGTCACCTAACCCCACTTCTGTCTGTGCTATGGTTGGAATGTCCCCACCAAGACTCTGGGTGGCAAGTTACTCCTTATTGTGAGGGAGGAGAGTGGGGAATTCAAGCTTGCTATGAGCCTGGGGGTGGGACCTTTGGAAGGCAATTGAGGTAAGAGGTCACAGGACAAAGGGCCAATCCCAGGGGACCGTGGCTTCACAAAAGGGCAGACCTGAGCCAGGACCTTCAGTCCTGCCATGTCATGACCCAGCTGCAAGCAGTTGCCAGCACTATATTATAGGCCTTTGGGCCTCGAGAAACTGCCTTCTTTATAATCTTCCCAGTCTATGACCCTCAGTTACAGCAATGGAAGACAGGCCTGGGCAGGCCACGCTGGGATTGCTCAGAGTGGCAGTGAGGTCCCAGGGGCTTAGGCAGAGCAGGGGCGAGGCATCTGTTGCCAGTCACCGTGTCTGTAGGCAGCTGCTGAGATGGCCGTGGTCTAGTCTCCATAGCCCTTTGGGGTCAGGCTGTCACCCATGGCAATGTGCACCCCGTGTCTTTGTGGCCGGGGCTGCCAAGGTGAGGCATTCTCGCCCTGGATCGGCCGCCCTGCAAGGGAACAGCCTCCCCACTGAGGACACCTCCAAGACCCAGTACTGCATCCTGCCATCCCTTGCATTCCATCATGGGAAGGCCCACAGATGCAAAGCCTTGAGTTCCTGGAGCTCCAGGGCAGGAATGGCCTCCACGGAACGCCCTAGGATCTGATATGGAACATGGGGACTCCATGCTACCAGTGCTGCAACAAAGTAAGGTTCCGTGTGAGAGCGCTCCAGGCACTAGTCAGGCCACATACCTGGTGAGTGGGTGTGATCCACTGGCCCTCAGCAACCAGGACCTTCCCATACCCACACATCCCACGATTCATAAGCAAGAGCCCTACATGAACTTGTGGATTCTCATGTGTTACTGCTAAGTTCTGCCTGCGTTCATCTTCAAGGTGCCACACTAAGGCACAGAAAGATGAAGACATTTGTCCAAGGTCACTCAGCTATGAAGTAGAAAAGGCAAATTCAAATACCACGTGGATTCCAACATTCTGAATTGCAATCTCCCCCACAACTCACCCCAGAGGCCCAGGCAGGGAGGGGTAAGCAGGCCTAGAGGCTGCTCTGCTGGGCCTGTCTGAGGTCGGCAGCAATGCCCACCCATTCTGGCAGGAAAGCTGCCTGTGGCTTAAAGACCATATGGAAGGGGGAGTTGGGCAGGGTGAAGTTGGCCAAGTAGACAGTGTCCCCACCTGTAAGATAGGCGGCCCAGATCCCGAAGGTGCCCACGGTGATGATGCTGTGGTTGCACTGTGTGAGCAGCGCAAAGTCCTTAGCGGGGGAGCCTTGAAGGCCGTTGCCAGCAAACACCACGTCTCCACGAGAGCTGTCGATGCTCTGCCGGCACCAGGCCATGTCGTCACTGGTGACCACGAAGAGTGGGGAATGGTAGCGGGCTCGGAACCAGTCCAGGGCCTGCTGCAGGTAGCCTCTGTCGGCCAGCACGCCCTTCCACACCTGCGGCATGACACGAATGTAGTCCCCCCGGCGCACGTGCACCCCCACAAAGGTCATCCGCCAGGCCTGCGAGGCCTGCAGGGCCTGGAGGAACTGCTGGGCCTCCTCGCGCACGTGCTCGTGCAGGCTGAACTCCTGCAGGATCTCCTGGCGCAGGTGGTGGTAGAAGGTCCAGGAGCAGGGGTAGCCCGTGAGGCGGACGTAGCGCCCCGGGATGTGGCGGTACTGCTCCTCCATCCAGTCGTTGAGGTGGTAGTTCTGCCACGGGACGCTCCGGGCCGTGACACTGTGCAGGACGGGCAGCGTGATCCTGAAGATGGGGGCCAGCGTGCTGTGCATCTGCGCGGGGACGTAGGCGGGCCGCCCATTGAGCTTGGCGAGGGCATACAGTGTGGCGTACTGGCCCATCTGGTTCCCCAGGCGGCCTTTGGAGTTGATAGTGAACATGCCCTCCTGGGGGTGGTGTCTGGGGACCACAACCACCTGGGCTGAATATGCCCATGGGGCAGGTACCAGAGCCAGGCGCCGGTGGCAGTGGAAGATGGTGGACACCACAAAGACAACAAAAAGGAAGTAGAAGGTGGAGAGGGACGGGCAGGTGGCTCCAAACCCCTTGGCTGCAGGGAGAGAGAGGACAAGAATCAGGAGGGGCAGATGGGGTGCAAGCCACGCTCACTGCTTCCAGTTCAGGATCCCCAGGCGTCGGCAGTCTGAAGCGCCATGCGCAGGCCTGACAGCACAAATAGGGCATCCTCCCACAAGCACAGGCCCCGCCCAGGCCCTTACCAGCATCACACCTGACTGGCCAAGTTCCTGTACCTCTTAAGCTTTTCTCACCTATTAGGGTGAGTAGGTCCACCATTTGGAAATACTTATATCCAGCCGTATTTTACCTGCAGTTGCAGCTAGTTCTATGGTCCAACCTGACGGCACAACCTCATGGAGTTGCATGAGAATTGAATGTGATACAGTGGTTCTCTCCTTTCATTTTACACAGATTTGACTACTCAAGGTCAAATGTGGTCTGAAAATATTGAAAGGGAAATTCCAGAAATAAGCAATTCAGCTGGACAAGGTGGAACACACTGCTAATCCCTGCAACTTAGAAGGCTGAGGCAGGAGGATCTCAAGTTCAAAGCTGGACTCGGCAACTTTGCAAGGTCCTGTCTCAAAATAAAAAAATAAGAAGGGATGGGGATGTGGCTCCATGGATAAGCACCCCTGGGTTCAGTCCCTAGCATAAAAAAAAAATCAATTTATAAACTTTAGATTTCATGATGAACCTTTCACCATCCCACTCTGCCAAGTTGTTCCCTCTGTCCTGTGTGTTCACACTGAGAGGCTCCCCACCTGTCAGTCACCAGGAAGTGCCTGTCAGCATCCCAGCACCTGTGTTCAAGTCACACTTATTTCACTACATAATGGCTCCGAAGTGCAAGAACAGTGGTGCCGACAGTTCAGATACACCAAAGAGAAGCTACAGAAGGCTTCCTTTAAAGGAACAAGTGTAAGTAAGTACAATAAGGCAGCTAATAGGGAGAGACAGGTCACATTCTCCTCTTGTGTCCGTGTACTGTTATAACTGTCCTACTTGTTAGCTATGGCTGCTCATCTCTTACTGTGCCAAATTTAGAAAACTCAAGCTTCCTCACAGGCATCTATGTACACGCAAAAAAACAGTACATTTAGGGGTGGGCACACCTGTGGTTTCGGCATCCACTGGGGAACTGGGAATGTAGCCCGCTCCCTGGTCCAGCCAGCCAGAGGACTTCTGTGCCTTTGTAATGTACTTCAGTGCCCAGCACACAGAAAAACTCGTACATGTTGTAAAATAAATACTTCCAGACAACCTACTACATGCCAGGCACCCTGCTAGAGGCAGAGAAGCAAACAGAACCAAGGAGACGAATCCTTGCTCCACCATCTTAGCGCAGTGTGCCCCAGTGGTTGAGCACAGGCAGTTCACTGGCAGGCTCAGCCCCCTGCTGGCCAGCAGCCCTGAGTGCAGCTAGGTTCTGACCTCCTGGGCCTCAGTCTCCTCCTTATATAACATGGGACTAGCCAAGGCACCCACAATGCTAAGTGCCAAGTGTTTCCTGTTGCTATTAGCAGGCGTGAGGGTTTTGAGCTGCCTGAACAGTCCTGATTCCCATTGGATCTGGATAGCTCTTGCCTGCCTCACCCAGTGAAATATGGCAAAAGTACCACAGTGCTGGTTTCTGGCCCAGGACCTGAGGGACTAGCAACTGCCACCTCCTTCCTCCAGAATATAGTTAGCTTTTAAATGTAGATTTGCAGGGCTGGGGATGTGGCTCAAGCGGTAGCGCGCTCGCCTGAAATGCATGCGGTCCAGGTTCGATCCTCAGCACCACATACGAAGATGTTGTGTCTGCCGAAAAACTAAATAAATAAATAAATATTAAAATTCTCTCTCTCTCTCTTAAAAAAAATAAATAAATGTAGAGTTGCAGTAAGCAACACTCTTCTTTTTTTGGTAATCACTTTACTGAGATGTAATCACATACCACACAATTCACCCATTTAAAGTGTATAATTTTGTTTACAGCAGCTCAATTCACAGTAGCTAAATTGTGGAACTAACTTAGGTGCCCTTCAATAGATAAATGAATAAAGAAACTGTGGTACATATACACAATGGAATATTACTCAGCCTTAATGAAGAATGAAATAATGGCATTTGCAGGTAAATGGATAGAGCTGGAGAGTATCTTTTTTAAAATATTTATTTATTTTTTTACGTATAGATGGATACAACACAATGCCTTTATTTTTATGTGGTGCTGATCGAACCCGGGTCCCGCCCATGCTAGGCGAGCGCTCCACCATTGAGCCACAATCCCAGCCCCTGGAGAGTATCTTGCTAAGGGAATAAGCCAATCCCAAAGAACCAAAGGCCAATGTGAATGTTGATCCATAATGTTGCCAACATGTGAGATGTGAATGTTGATCCATAATTGGAGGGTGGGGCAAATGAAGAATGGAGAAACTTTGGATTGGGCAGAGGGAGTGAGGGGAGGGGAGGGGGTATGGGGGGGAAGATGGTAGAATGAAATGAACATTATTACCCATTACTCTATATACAAATGGTATGACTCTGCATCATGTACAACCAGAGAAACAAAGTTGTGCTCCATTTGTATAAAATGAGTTGAAATGCATTCTGCTGTCATGTACAACTAATTAGAATAATAATAAAATAAAGTGTATAATTTTGCTTTATACAGTAGTGCATGCCTATAATCCCAGCTTTTCTGAAGGCTGAGGCAGGAGGATTGCAAGTTAGAGACCAGCCTCAGCAACGTAGCAAGACCCATCTCACAGTAAAAAATTTAAAAGGCTGGGGTACAGCATCCTGGGTTCAATCCCCAGTACTACCCCCCCCCCAAAAAAAAAGTGCACAATTTCACAGCTTTCAGTATATTTGCTAATTTTTAAAATACCTACATCAGGGGCTGGGGATGTGGCTCAAGCAGTAGCGTGCTTCCCTGGCATGCGCGGAGCGCTGGGTTCCATCCTCAGCACCACATAAAAATAAAATAAAGATGTTGTGTCCATCGAAAAACTAAAATCGCTAGCAAATCAATAAAACTTTGTTGAAAAAAAATATCTACATCATCCCCAAAAGAAACCCTACACCTTTAACCACCTCACTTCCACCCTCCTTCCTGCCTTCCCCTCCAACTAAGGTGCTTTGGATTTTCTCTTTTCCTGTCTCTGTGGATTTGCCAATTCTGGGCTTCACGTAACGAAAGCGTAGGCCACGCATGGTCTGTGTCTGGAGTCCTCCACTTGGTGCCCTCAAGCTCTGCAGGCCCACCCAGGTGGCATGTGTCAGTGCTTCACTACTCTGTGATGGCTAAGAATGTGCCGGCTCTGAGGGCCCTGTCTCGCCTGCTCATTCTCAGCTGGTGGGCACTCCGGTCGCTGTCCCGTATGTCCATGAGGCTCCTGTGTGAGCTCTGCGTGTGTGCTCTTCATGTCCCTCAGGTATCTGCCTGGCAGTGGCACTGCTGGGCCACCGAGTCACTGTGGTCAGTCATTTGGCCTTCAGGTCCTGCCCTGGCTCCACTAGGCTTGACTGGGCTCTGTGACCGTGGCTCCCTGTCCCTCTGAAGGGATAAATGACCCCTCCTCAGGGGCTGTGCTACCTCTCTCCAGGGCTCCCACCACAGTCTTCACTCCCAGCTCCACTTATTCTCTCCCCTCATTCATTCTTCTGACCAGCTCTGGAGTTCCTCAGGCTGCCTCCGTTCTCAACCTCCTATATGCAAGGGTGCCTTCCTTTATTAGTCTGACCCCTTTGGGAAATCTGAACATTGCTGGCCCTCTTTGAATGCCTCACGTTTAATATGGCTCCCCAAAGAGGTCAGTAAGCTCTTACAAGAGACATGACCCCTTCTTCCCTCTATACACACACAGAGAGAGAGAGAGAGAGAGAGAGAGAGATGCACAAGAAATGCTTTGTTGGCTGCTTCAGTTTCCAAAAAGCAAATTAAATCTGAGCCCCTTTTCTCTGAGCTGGTGAAAATTCCATCCCATCTGTTTCTTTCTTTCTTTCTTTTTTTAATAGGATCCTTATCTTATTTATTTATTTATTTATTTTTAGAGAGAGAGAGAGAGAAAATTTTAATATTTATTTTTTAGTTTTCGGCAGACACAACATCTTTGTTTGTATGTGGTGCTGAGGATCGAACCCAGGCCGCACGCATGCCAGGTGAGCACACTACCGCTTGAGCCACATCCCCAGCCCACGTCCCATCTGTTTCTATACCACCCGCCCAACTCAAGGTTCTGCCACTGAGAGAAACTAATGCTGCTGCAGCCAGGCCCCAGGTGAGTCCCAGGCTGGCACCAGCAGAGAGGGGACCAGAACCTGGGCCAATCGGGAGGAGACACTGACTCAGGACCAGTGTGCATCCTCCAGGGCCACCTCATGGTGTGTGGCCAGAGTAGCCCCATGGCCTCGTGCTCAGAAAGGCTCCCTGGTGGAGTCTGACATCCTGCTGCTGCATCTTGAAGTTCTTTGTAAATGCTGGTCAGGCGCCAAGTGGACAACATGCTGCTGGGGCCCTCCAACCCCGTTGCTTGCCCTGAGGGGGCCCTCTGAGCACCATCTACTGGGATCTCCTGCGCTCCCCCTCATGGCTGTTTGTCAGTCTCAACAACCAGGACACCCCCCACACACATTAGCCTGCTGTCCTGCTCCCCTATGTCAGTGGAGGGTGGCAAAGACCCACCTGAGCCATCTGGTGCCAACACCTGCCCTGAACTGACTGCACCTATTTGCAGACGACCCTCTTCTGAGCTCAACACTAATACCATGTCTGATAACAAGATAACCCAGATCCACTGTGGGTGTCACACAGGGCGTGGTCTGGACACTCGCAGTAGGGCCAAAGGGGTGAAGGTCCAAAAGGGAGCACCCCAGTCTTTCAGCTCGGGGATGTTTCCTGGGCTCTGGAGGCTTCTAGACCACCCCTCCTCCTCCTGCCTTGCAGGAGCCTTCAGGGCTTCTAATGGCCTGGGGCACTGCAGCTATTAAGAACAAAGGAGGAAGGAGGAGACTCACCGGGAGGAGAGCTTAGGGACCTTTTGT